ACTGGATTGGAATGGCTCATTCCAGGCATATGTATGAAGCCATGAAACCATAGGGGTGCCTTCCTCTGTACCACACAAAGAGCAAATGGTAGTTTAGGCCTTTTAACTCTAGAGACTTCCAGCTAGACAGAGCTAGATATGGGTTTTTATTACATTCTTGAAGACACTGTAATTCCTTGGACCTGAGTGACAACAGGACATTAAAGGCTCTCCCTGGAATTCTCGGCTCCTTCTCATTCATTTTAGTCTTTATATGTGTGCATGAGGGTAAGATAAAGGAGAGAGAGAAGAGTAAATAGAGACACACTGTACACAATACATGCCGGTGGCCCTTGTGGAGGCTACTGGATGCTCAGGTGTTGGTCTGCAACTTCTCCCTTTCTGGGGGCAGGGTCTCAAGTCATCCTCTTGCCAGAGCTGGCTAGCTGGTCCAGGAACGTCAAGCTTGTTGCCTAGCTCTGCCTACCATCTTACTACAGCCATGATAGGAGTCCTGAGGTGTTTGCCTTCAGCTCTTATATGTGTTCTTGGAAACCAAAGAGAGGTCCACATGCTCCTTATCACTGGGAAAGCATCACATCATCTCCTCTGAACTCTCCATACCACTGGTTTGAATGTACAGGGTATCCTGGACCATTCCATCTTTCCCAGAATGATCAGCAACTACGTAATATAACTCAAGAGTCTCCTGAGTACTGGGGTTACATGCTCACACCACTCCATGCTACTTTTTCATCTTTGGCAACTTGATCTAACCAGTGCCTCACATGCTTAATCTCCTCTCTAGGTGGGATATGGGAATATATGTGCAACATCCATCCAAGGATGCTTCAGGTCCCACCAGGGGCTATTAAGGTCTTTAACATTCTACACCCTACACCTTCACCCTAGTACCCTGCATGTGTCTCAGACAAGGGCTACAAGGCTACAGGACAGAAGATAAGCCATGTTTCTAACTCACCTCAAGCAATAGATGGAATAACTTCAGAGGCTTTGGAGAATTCCCAGCAGGGGGGCTCCAATGGGTGTGGGGCAGGGCCAGAAGTAGACTTGACCCAGAGGGTCAGTGGTCCTGGGACCTGTCTTCGTAGGTCCCTACTGGCCAGGCACACTGGAGAGTGTCCTAAGAGCAAAGAAGGGAGACTGTCATTAAGAGAGTAAATTAGGGCAGGTTGAGAGATTCAGTGGACACAGGCTTTTGCTGCCAGTCCAGGGCCTGGAGTGAACTATCCAGATCATCAGGACCCACATGGGAGGAGAGATGACACCCACAAGTTGTCCTCAGACCCATGCCCGTGTGTGATGGTATACTGTGGCTGGGTGTACAAGTCACACAATCCATGTGATACAAATACTTTTAATAAAGGCATGCACATGGTTAATAGGGAATAGATTCAGTTGGCTGAGTGCCAGTCTCGCATGCAGGAAGTCATAGGTTCCCTCGTCAGCAACTAAAGCCATGTGATAACTCAGGCCAG